GCTTTGGTTGGCCAGGCGCCAACCTCACCTCAGAAAGGAGCGATGAACACAGGGCACGAATTGATGATGAGATAAATACATGACCGCTGCTTGTACATAGCATTGCCATACGCTGCCATGAAACAGCCAGATAGCAAAATACAGGATGCCTTTCAAGTCCGTTGCTCATGCCTGGCCGATCGTATTCAATTTTGGACCGTAGAGACTCTATTCATCTACTCGTGGATTCCAGAAGTGAGTTACTTGATAGAGCGAGGACACCAATAGATATTTCCACTCAGCGGCATGTCGCTTGATCTATTGGTGTCCTCGCTCTATCAAGTAACTCATTTCTGGAATCCACGAGTAGTCGGACAATATTAGGGCTACGCGCAAAATTGCTTGCTGTGGCGCGCTTCTGTGGCGTCTATATGTTCCTGACTAAAGTACAAATCAACGAGTAAAGGCCACATTCATTGTTAATGACTGAGAAATAAATCCGACTGCACTGTACTTCGTTCTCTACCTTACATCTCGTTTTGTTTAGTGTTCTTTTGTTCTTTGTTTCTTATCGACAACGGATCTCCCTCCATGAGTTGCCACCTCTGCTTACAAACAAAGGAGTCAACTGGCCTTGACACTCGAATTCTCCTTCTCCCAGCATGTGAAGGTATCTCATACTTTTGAGCTCTGTTTTTGGTCTTTGATCGAAAGTGCCATTCATTCCGCGACAGGATGAGGTCCGCTGCGAAAGGATTCTATCTTGCCTGTTTTGCTCTCTTCGGATCTGTCCATGCCAAACCATCTAGCACAACCGCTTCCAAGTCTTCCTCCGCCGAGGTCTGCGCTGTAAGTAGCTTATCTGTAGGATTGTGGACCTTTACTAATTGGCTCTCTGCCAGATCGACCCTACAGCAATTGTCTCTGACGCTTGCGCCTCCTACTCCACCCTCGATACCCTGAACGATGCGCTCTCGCCTTCGCTAAAAGCCATCACGAAATCCACGGATTTCTTCGCCTATTACAGGCTCAACCTGTACGATCAGAAATGCCCGGTCAAAGCTTGGGACGACGAGACAGGCACGTGCGGGAACATTGCTTGTAAAGTGGACACATTGGAGGATGAAAAAGATGTGCCGGAAATATGGAGAGCCGGAGAGTTGAGTAAATTGGAAGGACCAAAAGCTGCGCATCCCGGCAGACAGCTGCAGAAAGAGCGGGGAAGTCAAAAGCCGCTGCAAGGGACGTTGGGAGAAAATGTAGGGGAGAGCTGTGTGGTGGAATACGACGACGAATGCGATGAGCGAGACTACTGTGTACCGGAAGACGAAAGTGCGGCTGTCAAGGGCGACTATGTCAGTCTGGTGGACAATCCAGAAAGATTTACCGGCTATGCAGGGATGGATGTCTGGGATGCCATATACAAGGAAAATTGTTTCTCGAAAGAATCTCAGATCTCGTCAGCACCGAGTAGAGGCGACTCATCCAATCCCTTCCAAGCGCATAACGACCTTCGAAACGTTATACAAGCGAATTCTCCTTCCACAGAGTTAGCCGTTGAAGACGAATGTTTGGAAAAGCGCGTCTTCCACCGCATCGTAAGCGGCATGCACGCTTCCATTTCCACCCACATCTGCTTCGATTACCTCAACCAAACAACGGGAACCTGGGGGCCAAATCTACAATGCTACCAGGACCGTCTCGGAACCCATCCTGAACGTGTCTCCAACCTCTACTTCGACTACGCAATCCTCCTCCGCGCCGTCACCAAGCTCCGTACCTACCTCAAAAATTACACCTTTTGCTCCGGCGATCCTTCCCAAGATGCAGTTACCAAGTCCAAAATCCTCTATTTGGCAGACGCGGCTGCATCTCATCCACAGATTTTTGACGAGAACACCATGTTTCAAGATCCCGATGTCAGCGGCGAGCTCAAAGAGGACTTCCGTAACCGGTTCCGCAATGTAAGCAGGCTGATGGACTGCGTTGGCTGCGACAAGTGCAGACTATGGGGCAAGCTGCAGACAGTCGGGTATGGCACAGCTCTCAAAGTTCTCTTCGAGTACGACGAGCTCAAGAATGGCGAAAATCCACCACTACGACGGACGGAGCTGGTGGCTTTGGTGAACACCCTGGATAGAGTCTCCAGCAGTCTCACGGCCCTCAGACGAATGCGAGATATGGTCGCCGAGCCAGTCGTGCCAAAGGAGGTCGCTAAGAAGGTTGACCTTTCCGACGCCAGCGAGCAGAAGGCCCCTCACAGATCCAAAGACCGTCCGGACGCCAAGCCGGCCATTGACCTTGACGATGATGAAGAAGAGGTCGTCCAACCGTACCAATCTATTTCCGAGATATTCCTAGAAGAGTGTTACCTGGTCTGGCGAACCTTCGGCTTCGTCCTCAGAAGCTGGATCGAGCTCCCGGGCAAGTTCTTCAAGATTACGGTCGTGGAACTCAGCCGATTGTGGAGCTTTTGGCTGGGATTGCCCGTGGCGGAGAGGAGCTGGGAGATCCAATGGGGTCCGAGGATGGATGAGCTGTGAGAGCTCTGTCTTTGTATGTTGACTACTTCGATGCAGCGATTCAGCGGCATTCCCATAGACCTTGCATAGGCGTTAGCATCCTGTGCATATATATACATTTGACAACGAAACCCCTTTTTTCAACCCCTCAAGCTTCCCGGTGCAAACAGACGCCGCTGCTAATCGCACCCTTGGGCCGTATCCGTTGTCAAGACTGACGGTTCACTGAACCTTGTGTATACAGCAGCTGTTGACCACCTGCCATGTCATCCAACCTTTTTGACATCAAACACCATGTTTTACCATGCCAGCACATCCGAAAATACCCACGCGCTACACCCCATGCCCGGGGAGATACTCTCTAGCTTGACACAAACCAGTATCAGTCATTAGACAATCTTGATGCTGATGATGGGAGTGTGACAACGATTGGTGCGGGTGGGGATGGGTTTCCCAAAGTCGGTGAATCTTCTTTGATTGATGCCTCCAGATTCAGACTGTTAGTTTATAAGCTGATGAAAGAGGGCGGAGAACATGGTATGAGCCCCTTTGGGATGATATACTGTGCCATTCGGAAAAGTCCAATAGCTTCAAGATAAGGAGTATCTGGATGGCAGATATGAGCGATTAGGGTGCTAGTGGTGTGTTGAATGAAGATGTGCAAGGGGACGATCCTAAGTTAATCTTGGGCATAGAATTTTCAACCCAGAGAAGAAATTCCTACGGAATTTGTGTATAGCATCGTGGTTCGGCCACTCCCGAGATTTGCTACTCATGGTCAATCAATTTCGAGACCAGATGGTAAGACCGATCGTTGGCGTTGGACATAGTAGTATTGGTGGGACTATACTGTAAGCCCATCCTTGCCTAAAACCACGTTTCCGTCTCAGTTCTACATGCTGAAGTCTTACATAAAGCGTAATGCTCTCCCTCCTGCATGCACGTCTCCTGTCGACGCTCGTCCTCTTCGACTCAATAATCTTACTTTCTGCCCGCCAAGGCGAATTCCTAGCGTACTTTAGCAACGAGCGCGAAGAGTCCTGGCCAAATCGTGCAGCAGCTGAGGAGTTTTTCTGGAAAAGTAAACTCCGTCGAAGTTGAGACCGAAGGGTATCGGAGAGATGCTTACGATTCGGGCTGAGAGAGCAAACCTTTCAGGCATATTCAGAGGATGGAAAGCAAAGCGAAGGAGAGGCCAATATCGCCGTGACAACAGCCAAATACCAAGAATCCTGGACCTACATTCGGTCATACATCTCCCCACTCGCCACCGACCCAAACGAGGGTTTATTTCATGAGAACCGCGTGCGCTATCCTGACACGGATCCTAGCACGCTGAAAACGCATCCGTTTTATCGCGCTGAGACAGTCTTGACACTTGATAATCTACCTCTCCCAAGGCCGAGTGTGTTATATGTATTCCCACAGAGAAGCCCAATGTCGACTCCTGCGCTCAATGGGAAGGAATTGGAAACAACGGGTATAGGGATAGGGGGCAGCGGTGCTGTGAAAGCTGGGAAGGTGAAAAATGTTGGATTTGACCGTGGTAGCCACTTGGTTACGTTCGAGTGGCCAGGCCAATGTGCGGAGACTGTTGTTGGTTGGCTGGGCGAGTGGTTTAAGGCGTGAAATCAAGACGGAAGAAAAGAGATGGAAAAAAGCGCAAGAGGTAAAAGTGAAATAGAAGGGAACCGCCTTGTTATATCCAAAGAGTGGCGTGACAGAACAAAAGTTTGGATGGAAAACTTCCTTAAGAGCAAAGCCAAGACGAAGCTGTAAGAGAAGGAGAGCTCAAGAGACGCAGCAAAATGCAAGAACTGACACTTCTTACGGCTGTTCACTGATTGGCCTCTCTGATTTCGGACTTCTGCGTGGACGGCTCTCCCACGCGATTGGACTTGCAGAGCATCAACAACTGGGACTTCGACGGGGCTTCATCTTGGTTGAATTTACTGGTCTGGGGGCGGCGCAAGCTGACTATTTACATACTAGCTCTTGTATGCAAAGCTTGCTACTTACGTAACTGAGGCTCCGGGTCATCTTTTCTGTCTAGACCTTCCAAGGGATGCGACGTCAGAACTAGCTGAATCCGCTCAACCCCTTCTGCAATTCTTCCTCTTACGATTTTGATCAAAAGTTGCCTGTTTACCTAGTACCCACCAACGTGCTACCGAGGTCTGCACCGGAAGTCCTAGGCGTGAGAGTTATTCCCTCGCTGTGCCGGTATTTCCATCACGATTACGATTTTGAAAAAGATGAAGGATACCAAATGTACCTTCGAGAACGATCTCCTGGAGAGTGAGTGTGGCCAATGATGGTTTTAACCGAAGATTGCCAGACTAGTCCCAATTGTGGTTAGCCTATGGCTCTCAAGATGTCCTACTTCTAATATCCCTCGGCTCATGAAGTCTACCTTACTCCGCAGTCGCTCTTCTTTGGATCTTCCAACACCTCCGTATCAATACCCAGTGATCACGATTTCAACCTATGCTACCGGCCATGGAGGACTATACTCTCAAGACTTCGAGATTCCAGTACTCGTGTTGCGGATATGACTTCGAATCCGCCACTCCAGAGAAAGCAGACTTTCGCTACGATTTGATGACTTTCCTCGGAGTAGCTCAGAAACTCGAAATTGACTTTCTTCCGATCACTTGGCAGCCAGGTTTAGACCGTATTGGCCGGGGCGCAACGGCTGAGATACGAGAAGCTTCGATGAGTTTGCAAGCAAGCTTTGCGTTCAAGCGTCCCATTTTCCAATCCTCCTTCGAATTCGACGAACTTGAGGGTCGAATACTACCATCTTTGATAGCTGAGATCTCTATCTTGGGTCATCCATTGATTCGCCAACACCCCAACATCATCCAACTTGAGGGAATATGTTGGGAAGTCTTCTCCGGAGAAGGGGAAAGCGTCTCCAGAGACAGGCCAATCCAATCCGCAAAGGGGGGAATCGTGCCAGTTCTAGTGTTCGAGAAGACAAATCATGGAGATTTACGTGGCTTCATGATGAATGACGCAGGAAAGCAGCTTGGTTTCACGGAGAGACTCGAGATGTGTACTGCCGTTGCTAAGGCAGTGGCAGACATGCATTCAAATAGCACGTCTCTGTCTACGATCTATGGATTGTGATAATAACAATACGTCAGATATCATTCATGGTGACATCAAGCCTCAGAATACGTTGATCTTTGATAATACTTCCAGGGGCTACACCGCCAAAGTAGCAGACTTTGGATATTCTACCCAATACGCTACGCCAATCGACTTGATCCATATGCCTAGATCTCGACCCTGGGCTGCCCCGGAATGGCATCACCGCGGCTTCACGTCTGCACAAGCAACGAAAATGGACATCTATTCCTTCGGCATGCTGGTACTATGGCTGTTGTGCTACAGTACGCAAGAAGACTCGGACTCCAAGTTCATAAGCGACTTAAGCGCAGCATCTGGAGCATTGGCCCTTGCACATCAAGTGATCCAACTCGCGTCCGAAAACCAGGAGGTCGACCTGATCGACTTTTTCGACGCAACCCTCACAAGCGATGTAGCTACTCGCTGCTCGGATTTCAGATACCTACAATGCCTTCTGGCCCCAGAAAAGTAAAGTGGTTGCGCTCTGTTTGAAAAGGAGACTGACAATTACTAGGACTGTGAGCAGCGCTCGTACTGGGCTTTTTCCTGACTGCCTTGACTTGACGAGTGTAAACTTTCAGGTGTGATTTGACTTTTCCTTCTGTACCCATATCTAACATTGATTCAGATGATACCGTCAATGTTTCAATTTTACCAGAACGATTATCGGGTACGCTTGTATATAGCCGACTGTTTCTTGAAAAGAGTGTCTGTTTTGGAAAACCGGCAAGACAACGATCTCACATCACAGAACATCCTACTCCAGTGCGCTTTCTGTTATGAGATCGGATTCGGTACTGCAAGAGACAGCACGCGATCACACAAACTCTTGGAAAACTGTAAGCAATATGAGACGGACTTCCATAGTGAGCTTGATTCATTCAGACGCGGGGAAGACTCTCTACATTTCCATGAGAGCATTTACCGAAGGATGCACAGAAAGGGTCATATCCAGAGGATCGATCTTGCTCAGAGTTATCGTGGACAAGAAAGTCTTGACGAAATCGAGCTGGAATATCGGAGAGAGATCTCAGATGTAGAATCCGGACTGGGACATGGTCATCGAGTCGTTGATCTCCTGACAGGCCAACTATCTTCAATATTCTCGCAACATGGACAGTGGGACGAGGCCGAGCAATTAGACGTACAAGTCTTGGAAATGAGGAAAAGGATGCTAGGTGAGAAGCACCCAGACACGCTGGTTAGTATAAGTAATCTGGCGACGGTATATAAATATCAAGGACGATATGAAGAGGCCAAAGAACTGGGGACACAGATTACAGAGGAGAGAAAAAGGATGTTGGGAGAGGAGCACCCGGATACGCTGAATAGCATGGCGAACTTGATATCAGTCTATGGGGTTGAAGGGCAATTGGAAAAGGCCGAAGAGTTGCAAATGCAGGTCATAAAGACAAGCACAAGGGTGCTAGGCCCAGAGCACCCGAATACCTTAAAATTTATGGCCGATCTAGTGGAAATATACATGAACCAGGAACGGTGGACCAAGGCTGAAAAGCTTGATGTACGAGTCATAGAAGCGGAAAAAAGGGTGTTAGGAAACGAACACCCCCACACGCTATTCAGTATTCTCCATTTGATATCGATATATAGATTTCAAGGACGGTGGCAGGAGGCCGAGGAGCTAGATGTGAAAGCCCTGAAAACGACCGACAAGCTTTTGGAAAAGAGGGATCCTGCTACGCTGACAGTCATGGCCAATTTGGCATCAGTATACAGAAGCCAAAAGCGGTGGAAAGACGTCGAAGAACTAGAGCTGCAGATCATTGCCACGACGAAAAGTGTGTCCGGGGAAGAGCATGTGGATACTTTGAGTAGCATGGGCCAGCTAGCATCGACATATAAAGCGCAAGGACGGTGGAAAGAAGCCGAACAGCTGGATGTATTCGTTGTCAACACGGAGAAAAAAATATTAGGAGAGAACCATCCGGATACACTAATCAGTATGATGAATCTCGCATCCACTTATAGGAATCAACGAATGTGGAAGGAGACTGAGGAGCTGGATATGCAAGTTATAGAGTCAAGGAAAAGGGTGTTGGGAGAGGACCATCCAGATACATTGACCAGTATCAGCAACTTGGCAGTTACATACTGGTATCAGAAACGGTGGACGGAGGCCCTAGATTTGGAAGTACAAGTGATCGAGACGACGAAGAGGGTGCTTGGAGAGGAACATCCTTCCACGTTGATCAGCATGGCCAGCCTGGCGCATACTCTTCTCTACCAGGGTCAGACGAGCAAAGCGGTGCATATGATGTCTGAAGTCGCTCAACGTCGCGCGGAGACATTGGGCTCTGATCATCCTGATACTGTTACTGCGAGAGATACACTGGAAGGGTGGCGCAATGAAGACACAGTCGTTGCCTAGAGATCATCAAAACACCGGACAAAATATACCAAGGAATACCTCTGCCCTACTCGTCATTCCGGGGGTCTATTCGGAGGTCCACACTGAATCTGGACGAGAGAAACCGCAGAGGAAGCTCTGGGTATCTGCGACGGTGGATTCTTGCCGGCCATGGACAATGCCAGAAAGTTCGGACTTTGGGGAAAGAACTTAGAGACCATTGAGATCAAGAAGCTTGTAGATTGGTAATGCCACAATTGATATCCCAATTTCCAGCTAGCTAGTCAAGAAACCCCACGAGGGCCGCGACTTGACTCTCTTCGACGCTATCACCCGCCATTCTCACCACCATCTTCACGAAGCCTAACCATGGTGAAGCCCCACCCAAGTTTCGGGAATGAACGGTAAGCTCTAGGGAGAAATCTCGAGGAGGAGGAGGCCGCCAATAGGAAGAGCAGAACGGCCTTCACTATGCTCAAGACTGGGTTTACCGTCGGCTTAGGGCTCACGAGCTCGGTAGTGGGCCTACAAGACCTAAGCTACCAGGCCGATCACGCAGGGCGCTGAGTGGGCAAGTTTGACCCGGGACCGGCCAGCTTGTTCGATATGTTTGGGACAATTACGGATCTGATCGGCCATTCCTGACCAGCAAGACCTTCCTAGTGCTGAGTACTGCAAATAGGTGTCCATACACTCGTGCACGTATTTACCAATGCATCACGCCGATGTTTGTGTTCCTGGATTTCATCGATTTCCTTTTTCTCAGGAGCTTGTCATCCCATCATCTACTTCGCCGGCATTGGTGCAGCAGCAGAGAGATCTCTTCTCTTTCTCGATATCATCACTTTCTTGGCCAGATTTGGACTCAGCATGGCTGTTTCTTGAACCTGAAGTACGATTCTGAGCATCAAGAAATCATTGCCCCGTTCCCTCTGTCGTTGGTCTAGAATCGTGTTAAGCTTTTTAGGCTAATCTATTATGACCGTGGTTGCCCTGCCTCTACCGCTGTGGACCTTCCTCTTCATCTATGTAGCACTTTCCACTTCTCGTTGGCCACCATTTTAGATTCCTTCGAATCCCGTCTGACTTGCAGCAATAGTCCCATGCTTTAGATCCAGTGGCATAGACCTAGACTGGGTGGCTGAAGCGTTAAATTGGTAGAGTGCAAATATAGAAATCTCATGTAGAGTGCGCATGAAGCCATCTCCGCCAATGGCAAGCAACATGGTACAAGACAGGGACAGAAGTCGAGACCGCAGCACCAGACCCAAGTCCCAACAAGCCGGAGGGGGGGTCTCTGCTAAAGAAAAAAGCATGGCACGTTGGGAAAGGGGTAGAATTAGATCTGTACTGTCAGTCGTCAGTCGAGGAAAGCGTGACGTACTCGGATTTGCCCACACACAGTCGGAAGGTGCTTCCTACGGGGTCTTTCTTGCTAGCTATATATATATAGCTCACTTAACTAGATCTTTAAGAATCCTTCGAATTCTTCCTCTATCTCAATTCATTATTCTCTTCTACTCACACGAGCTAATTCTTACTATCTTATTCTTTCACACCCGTCTTGTATGTCATCTTAAAAGCAAGTATACGTTGGTTTGAGTCTATCATATCCTGCTGAGCTCATTCGCCAACGTTAGACTCATTAATGAAAGACGCAAATCCACGCTCTTGGCAACGGTTCTTTAAATGTAAGTAAATTCTTGCTCGAAAAGAATTTTCTGCTCAAGTGACTCACAGACCAAACCACCATCAATCAATTGTACTGCTGTGTATAAGACCTTCTGTCAATGGCGTACTTTAGCACGAACTTCAGATCATATTCCCTACCTGACAGCTGTCCCTCCACATCAATACACATACACCACGCATCACAATCGCACCCGGGAAGCCCATACAATCCACCCTTCCCCACGCCCCCGTCAGGGCGACTTGACGCTCTCGGCATGAAAGCTAGGATCACATACGGAAACAAGCTCGGACAAAATAGAAACATCACTCCAAGAACGATGCGGTTCGCCACAGTGGGACTGGGGGTTAGTGGGTCACATGACATGTCCCTGTTTCATGGCCCTGTCGGTACCCCTGCAAGGGGTTGGGGACAGGTGTCCAGTACGAGCTATATAGCCACCTGTTTTGCACCTGTCAATGGCTCTTCATTCGATTTCGTCTCTTTCAGAGCCATTGCATACTTTTTGTCCCACCCACCCACACCTGTACACCGCTAGCTATCATTCCACTCCAGGTCTATGCCATAGGCATGGGAGTTTTCTTGCGCTGGGGTACGAGAAATATGCCTGTTCAGGCCTCTATTTAGGCCTATTTAGGCTTGCTATCCCCGGCGTGAGACGGCCCAACCACTATCTACACTCTATGTGGGCCCCTATGCGTGCATTGACGCGTGTTTTTCATGAATGGGACAACTAATTATTAACTGGTGGAAGGAGCGATGCTCTGTTATGCTACACGCGGCCCCGTTCACAGGAAAGAAGATGGCAAAGGAGATACAAATTCTAGATGGCGAAATGCAATCCAGATATGAAAAACTGCATGGAGGGGAGGGACTATGCTGCGCTCTTGTTGAGTTGTTGAACGCCATGGGAGAGATAAGGTTGAAGGCCGAATACGGAGACTACCTGGCATACACCTGTTCGGCTCTAAAAGCAGAAGGAATGGAAGATATAATATGGAAGATTGAGAGGCTTGACTGGCAGGCAGTCGCTGAGCGAATCAAAGAAGAGGAACGCACCAAAGCAGAGCGAGAGGCTCGTCGACTCGCGATTGCTCCCACCCCATACTTGGACGACGTAGTTAAAGCTGCAGCCAGGCTCGGATACGACTTCGATTTGGTTAGATACCAGATACTCGCCTACGCCGACAGAAACGATTTCTGTCACAGCGGATTGAAGAACATGATCCACCATGGCGACTTTCAGGACTTGGCAGAAATGCTGATGCAAGATAAAAGGTCTCTCGGGATGATTTTCCGAGGCAAGCCACATGCGCAAATAGAAATGCGCAGGGTGATACAAATCGTTGAGAAAGAATGGTTCGACAAGATATACATCCAAGAGACAAGCACAGGGCGCCGGGTCAAATGGGTCCCTACGGAGAAAGCGTTTAAGAGAATGAGAAGATCGGCAGCATCGTACTAGGCTCTGAATGCTAAAGGCCGAGGGGAATGCCAATGACGAGGGTGAATTGGCTTTTTTGTGTTAGCGCCGCGGTTTCATAAGCCACTGCGATGTATAATGGCTCTAGTTACTTTGACGGTGATGGTTTGTTGGTTGGGCGGGACTTTTGTATGTACTTCTACAGTCTTCAATAACAGAGACAATTCGATGGAAGTTTCCGCAAGAATTCTTCAGGACTTACATTGCTACAAATCGGTACCAGGATACCTTTTTAAATGCCTTTGCCCGATCCTTTCAAGCCAGATAACTTCACGCTCCATCTCGCAGATCTCGCAAGAATATCATTGACATCATTAAGGACATTCTAAGATGCTGATATTAGGGCCGTCAGATCAGCACTTGGCTCTTTTATTCCAGATAGTCTTTAACCAACGTTCTTCAAGGTTTTATAAAGGCCTTGGAAGTTTGTGCCCATCAGCAAGTTCCTTTGAAAGATAAGACACTTGAAATGCTGAAACCTTTCCTCCCGCAATGTACGCTATCGCTACATCGAGTTAGCGCGAGAATTTTCTACGCCGTAATGTATAGAATAGTTCTCTCTACTATAGAATATCATTAACTGTATACTTTTGATACTATATATATATATATTCTTATATAATAAGAAATTATAAACTTCGAGGATTATCCATTGTGGTTTCTGCGACACACGCTCGAGAAAGAAAGAAAGAACAGACGAAGATATCGACCACAATATGCCTGCAGCTGCCACGTGGATCATCTTTGCCGGCCGGATCGTTATCACGATGCAGCGAAAGAGCACATGGCCCCCGCGGACTTATTTCATCCCCACGTTCATTGTCTGCGCGAAATCCCCAAGAGTTTCAGTAAAGAGAGACGGAGTTTTGAAAGGAAAGGTTTGAGTTCTTACGGAATCATGGAAGCTTGAAACAGGAAACTCGCGACAGTGCTGGAGAAGCTCGCAACATGATGGCGGAGATCGAGCGACGTGACCAGAGCCTAAAGCAAATGGGGGCTCTCTTCTCTGGCCCCATCCAGGCAGATGAGGGAGGCTCAGGTAGTATGCATGCCTTGAGATAGATGATTATCATGTTGCAGATGGACACGGAGTTTTCTCTTTGGTTGGAGCAACTCTTACCTATCGTAGACTGTAATTCTGCATGATGGGATCTTAGCTATCTCGTATGGAAATTTTTGTTCACCTTCAGACTTATGAGTTTTATCTAGATGTCGCCTTCGCTGGATGCATAGCCCTCATAGGTAGTTGGCCTTCTCAAATCTGGATCCAAAGTCCTTAGCTTTGTTGAGCAGCTCCCTTTTCTGCGCATGTCCAATCTTCATCCCCATTCCCATGTCCTTCTCCTTATCAAACGCCCTCGCACTCGGATCATCCTCCTTCTCCTTCGGCGTGACCTTCTTATGCTCATTGTACAGCGACGTGTTCCTATTTTTCTCGTTGTATTCCCGTATCCTTCTTTCTGTTTCCCTCGCTTCCTCCTCCCTCCATTTGTCCGTCTTATCCTCGGGCCCCAGCTGCGCAGGCTTCTTCACGCCCATCACTTCGTCTTCGAGACGTTGCCGCTTCTGCTCTGGCGTCTCTGTCCAAAGTGTGTTCTCACTGCCACCTTTCTGAGCTGGAGCTTTGGAGCCTTTCCCTGTATTGAATTTGCGATTCTTGAGTTTAGTGGGGTCAGCGCGAGCGGACCAGTCATCCTGTTTTGGGGGCAAGAGCATCCATTCTTCTCGCTGAGGCCTTTTGGAGGCTTCCCGAGCTGCTTCGTCCTCAGCAAGCGCTTCCTGGCGCTTCCTTTCTGTCTCTTGACGTATTGAGCCTGGCGGGGGGGGTAGGGAGGGCCCGAAATCGTCGTCCGAGTCGCTGCTATCTGCATCTGACCCTTGGGGCGTGGTTGGTCTTTCTGAAAGGGGGGCTGGTGGAGCTGCAGGGCCTACCACACGGCGGGTTTTTGTGTGGGGAGATGAGCTGCGTTGTCGCTTATGCGGAACGTCTACAGTGTCATATGCCTCTTCTGAACGCTTGCGCTTCGCAAGATGAGGTGGGAGCTCTGGGCCGACTGAGGCCATATTATATCGAGAAAGATGTCACACATAGACTTAGAGAACACAGAGATAGGGACTGTGAGAGTCGCGAGGTGGAGCGGCGCAAAGCCTCAAGAGGCAGTCGACGACTTGCAGATGGCGGAACTTTGCCAAGGTCTTGGCTCTTGGCGCCCTTTCGAAGACCATCCATGTCAGCCTATATTGCCCTCGATCGGCAGACGGCCACTGTAACGTATAAGCGTTGTTGTTCTGCTGCTCATGATTATCGACTGTCTTCCACATGGAAGTGTCTTGTGAAGCACAGCAATGCTGAAGCGGTATTGGTGTTAGCTGTTGGAGACATGAGGGTCCAGAGGCTCCGATGAGCGCTGCAAAGGATGAGGCCGAGGATGGTCCATTGGAATTGACAGATGATGACCATAGCACCCGCGAGGAAACGCCGCAGGATAATGAGAACGAACAGACGCAGGAAGAGGAGTTGCTAACACCCAAGTCGAGTAAGCCAAACGGATTTGAAGAGGAGGATGACAGCTTGGCTTCCAACAATGAGCTCGATCGCGAAGACTTTGGGCCATTGCAGACTTCGAGTCCGGTTCCTGAAAGACCATCAAGTGCTGATGAGTCCCTTTCAATCCCGGACGACACTCCTTCTCTGCAGGTAAGACCTCACGTGTTCAAGGCAGACCATCTTCTGACTGCCATAGGGCTCTATCGAGTCGTCCACTCCAGGCAGAGGGTTCCGTATATCCAACTATGGCCGAAGTCCAACACCATCTCTACGGCCCTTTGATAAGCGGTTTCAAGCTCGCTTGTCCCCTTCTCCACTGGGCTCACCTCGAGCTTCTTCACCAGCCTTCCTCAATGCGCATTCACGGCAGTCCTCGACGGCCTTCTCGATACAGAACGATGGATCTGCTGAGTCACCACAGGCACCCTGGGAAGTTGTCAGGTGGACCAAGCTTAGAAAGATGACGGGTGAAGCATTCTCTGAGGTTGGGAAACGTAAATTTGGGCGGCCTACATGCATAGCTATAGCTGCTTCAATTGCGATAGGAACGTCGAAAGGCATAATATTGGTATTCGACTACAATCAGAATCTCAAATCCATCATTGGTCTGGGCACAAAAGCTTTTGAGTCTGGGTCTATTACGTCTATCAGCATATCTGCAGATCACTCTACTATCGCTGGCGGACACGCCTCTGGAAGCATCTTCACTTGGGAGGTTGCGAGGCCTGCGAAGCCTTTTCTACACATCCCTCCAATCGACAGGAGTCGAGCTCCGAACGTTGACGGGCATACTCTTGATGTTGCCATCCTTCACATTGGCTTTCTGGGAATGCGACACACCGCACTGGCTTCAGCTGATGACAAAGGAATGGCATTCTCTCACTTGGCCACGAGGGGAATGGGAATGGTAGCGCGCTCTGTCAAGACGACTCGGATACTTGGCCGGTACCCCGATAAACCATCAGGTGCTGACCGTCAAAGGAAGCCAAGCTCTGTGTTGGCATTTTCTCCCTTGCCCTTGGGGAATGCAGAGCATGGTGCGGACTCCTTAGGACTAATAGCCATGCTGACACCGTACCTGTTAGTCGTCGTTTCGACCACGCCCATAGCACAAACTCAGTACAAGTCTCCAAGACCTAAAGAGGTGGCCGCTCATGGCGCCATGACAGCTGCTTTGGCATGGTTCCCAAGTGTCAAGCTAAAGACAAAAGATCCGGTTACAATGGAGACATCATCAAGGGTCAAGCTCGTCTACTGCTGGTCGAACATTCTCACAGTCCTCGAGGTAGTCGAAATGGAACCCTCAGCAAGTCTTGTGAAAGAGGAACCCCCAAGTCTCCAGTTCAAACCACGCAGCAGGTGGAAAGCCGAGGAGGCCATCGTTGGTGTTCAATGGCTCAGTCGATCTGTGCTTGCAGTCTTGACAATCACACAACAGCTGGTTATCCTCGAAGACAGCTCAATGGTTGTGACAGATTCCTCTGACCTAATCCAGAAGCACATTTATCATGCTGACTTGTTCTCGGGCCAACTTAATCAACTCGTTGATCAGTTGGAAGATGAAGAGGTCGCTGCTATGCATGGGGTGGTTGCCGACGCTTTTTATATGAGCTTCAGAGCCTACAAAGGCCGGCTGTTTCTTTTAGGACACAACGAAATCTCTTTCGGCACACTCTCCAACTGGGCTGATCGACTACTGGCGTTGATGGAAGAAGGTAGCCACATTGCCGCAATCCGATTAGCGACCTCTTACTACAGCGGCGAAGCTAATAAGGTAGCCGTTGGTCTTCCTGAGGATGATGCTACGCGACACGGCTTAGTTCAGGAGAAACTCTCCGAGATGATCTCAGCATCCCTTCGATATACACTTAAAAAGAACGGAACGGTCCAACAGAGAAATGGTGACCAAAGGCAGCTCGAAGAGCTTGCATCCGCTTGTATCAAAGCTTGCATCAGCATGGAAGATACTGACTTCTTATTCGAAGACGTCTACAGTTGGTATCAGGACGGAGACGCTGAAAGTGTGTTCCTCGAAAGCATTGAGCCCTACATTGTCGATGATGAAATCAGTGTCATATCTCCAGTAGTGATCAAAGACCTAGTAGGACATTACACTGCGCGAGGGCTCAATGCGCGTATCGAAGAGATGATCTGTCATCTGGACTCTGGAACCATGGACATTGATCAGATCACCACGCTATGTAAGAAGAACCATCTTTACGATGCTCTGCTATATGTATGGAATCAAGCCCTTAACGATTACACCACCATCTTGACTGATCTACTGATCTTGGTCGAGCACCAATACAACTCTCAGTCAGACGTCGATCCGTCTCTTGCAGAGTTGGAATTGACGAGCGCGTCCAAGGTCTTTCCATATCTCTCCTACATACTCACAGGTCGTGTATATCCCACGGGCAAGGATATGCCTGACGACTCTGCAAGTTTGGCGAAAGCTCAGATCTATCACTTCTTCTTCTCTGGCGGCAGTAGGGAAGGTCGGCCTGTAACTCAGGGAAGCCCACGATCGTCGAAATCCGAGTCTACAACCTCATTTCCAAATCTGCGACGGGTCCTCAATTTCGACGCACCAAGTTTCCTCAGCATGCTGAATGAAGCGTTTGAAGATAGCTTCTTGAACGGTCCTCAAGACCAAATGGCCAACGAAACACCCGGACGGCTGACAGAAGAGCAGAAGTTCGGTCTGTCAGTCAATCGACAATGGATCGTTAGCATTTTGTTGGAAGTAATGACACCTCCGAATTATGAATCTGATGACACCGTTTACCTTGACATGTTCATAGCCCGTAACCTTCCGAAGTTTCCTCAATTTATCCTGCTACCTGGTCATGTACTCCATCGAGTACTTATCGGCCTTTGCCAGTATCCAACAAACGAGGTAGCAGATGACTGTCAGCTTAGTGTCGAGTATCTGCTCTCGATGTATCAGCCACCAGACCTAACATCGCTGATACCCTTGATCTCCAAAGCTCGCTTCTATCGAGTCTTGAAGTCGATCTATAAACAGGAGCGACAATTCGCTGATCTACTGAAAACATGCTTCGAAGACTACGAGAATCAAAACGCCATCTTTGATTGTATTGGTGACTGTCTCAAACCCAGCGCTGGTCTGAGTGAGAAACAGATTAGCGAGATCCGTGGTGTGATCGTTGAGCATGCGTATGACCTCGTTGCGGCCCATGTCCAGAGAGCAGCATCCATAATCGATACGTACGCCCCAGATCTTCACAGCGTTTTGCTAGATACACTCGGCGATGACGAAGGCGCTCAATTCGAATATTTGCAGACGGTACTTGAGCCATCTACTCCGGGAGCAGAGGCCGACCGACCGACCGGTCGCCAGCGCGATTTCATAGAGCAATATGTGCGACTCATGTGCGACTTCAATCGGTCTCATGTCAGCAAGTATGTTGACCAGCTCAAGAGCGGTGATTTGCGTTTGGAGGAAGTCCTGCCAGCGCTGGAGGATAGCGGCGTTGTTGACGCCGCTGTAGTACTCATGGCACGAGAAGGCAAAGTCCGAGAGGCCATTGATCGTCTTACCCATCATCTCATCGCTTTGGAGTCTGCTCTACTCGGTTTGATAGACGGAGTCAATGAAAGTCCAGATTTAGGTAACACTGCCGAGGCCGGACGAGACTTGATCGCCTCTGTACAACAGTATGCTCGAGTGGGCGTATGGCTCTGCCAAGGACAGACCAAAGCTGTCGAAAAAAGGAAACCGATCCTATCGCGAGCGAAGAGTGCCAAATCTCTGCGTGATGCGTTATCTTCGGACGAAGAGCTTTGGTTAGATCTTATCGACGCCGTCGTTGCGGTTACCAAGGACGTCACTGAAGTTCTAGAGAGGCAAGACCGTGCAGCAGGGATCAGTGAAAAGGATGCTTCACAGCGAGCACGAAGCGCCACAGACCTCGATTCGCCAAAGATGATCACGGATTTGCGTACCATCGTCCAAGATACGTTCACAGCTCTCCTTGCCGCCACCAGCGCTCCTCACACTAAAGATGCTCGTCGCACGGATGTCTCCTTTCTGCGTATTCTCCGAGCGTTCCTGGACCGAGCATCAATGTCCTCACCTTCTTTATCAAACTTGCGTGCAGTGCTTGGAGCGATCTTCTCAGCATACTCGTATGAGGAGTCTCTGCTTTCACTGGCAAATCGACTGCTGGATAAAGAACTATTCGTGCAAGTGACAGAAGCGGATAGCCTGAAAAGAAGAGGCTGGAGGCCGCTAGGCCAAGTGTGCGAAGGTTGTGGCATGCGGGTATGGGGCCCTGGTGCTGGAGGCTACATCTGGGATGCTTGGCAAAGAAGCAACGCAGAGAGAGAGATGGTACAACAAGTGAAAGTCGAGAAGAGGCCTCCAAGGTCTTCATCGAGAGAAGACCGCGGCAAAGGGAAAGGAGTTACTAGGGATGATGGCACCATGGCAATCTCGGAGTCGAATAATGGAAACGGTGAGGAAGGTGGGGTAGATGAAAATGGAGCGGTCGTGATCTTCTCATGCAGGCACATGTTCCATCGTGCTTGTTTGCTAAAGATGCAAGATGGAGGGAGCAAGGATGACGGGCAGACCGGAGGGCTTGGTTCAGACCTGGCGTGTCCATTAGAAACGTGAGCGTTGGCGCCACTTCATGCTGTACGATATTTCCCCCTGTTCGATTACTTGTATCAATCCTGTCGTCTACATCGCAAGCGCTTGGAGTCTGTCCGCTCATCTCGCCCGTGTGAGCACCATCAGCTTTTTGCCTTTGCGTGACAGTACCTGTAGGTCGTATTATCCATCCTGGTCTGCTTAAGGCAAGGTTCGAAAATCGGCACGGCGTTGGGGTCAAAGCGGCTCCAATTTTTTACTCAGGCAGAAAAGTCATTAACCAGATGACGTCCTTCTTCTTTGTTACCTGATGCGGCGCAGCAGGAATTACAGCTCAAGAACCTAACAGCGATATGACAGACGAGCCCAATTGAGACGAGAAAGTCTTCAACGGGAAGATAACTGGGAAGTGGAGAGTCGAGAGGCTTCAAAGGCCGAATGAGGATGTGTCTCTGAGAATGTGCTTGATTGAGTAAGGCTCTGTGATCAGGTGCCTCGCCAGATCTCCCTTCTCTGTCCAGGACTTAGTCTATCACCCAGTCGAGATACAAAGCACACCTTTACAAGAAGACAAAGTGCTTTACGACCCTCGGATGGCGTATACAAGTCCGATATCACCGCACCAGATGATCTTAGAGAAGCGCACCAGAAAGCGACAGCACTGGTGGCACCTGTGGAAAACGTCGTCAACAACGACAAGGTTTGGAATCTGGGAATCCCATCAACAGATCCTTGATCTCGTTCATCTTTCAGTCTACCCGCTTGTCTATGACCAATCTCGCATACTCCACAGTGGCACAACAGAATTGAATGAGTGTGCACAGTGCGGTGGGGGGGGTCAAATTGTCCTGCTACCGGAACAGGATCCCGTGGAGTATCTCGGACCACTACAAGGAGTATCATTTCAAATGTCGTTACCGTGATATCCTCTTCACGGATGGATATCACAGTGTATAGATATGATGGAAGAATAATAAGAAGAATGGATGACATCAGAAGACGACTGTGGCAGATTGGGTTAGCTCCGCTGATTTCGATATCTCGTCTCATCTGGGGAGAGTTGGCCAATCTGGTCCCAATGGTTGGCAAATTGGCCGATCTTCCGAGCCCTATTGCAAATTCTCCACAGTTGCCATTTGCATGCCGCGAAATTTGGACTAATACACTGCTCGTATCAAGCATAGTTGATTTTCCCGGAAGCAAGAAGAGGAAAGGCGGCTCTCGTACTTGCTTCCCCTGAACCGTAAGTGCAAGATGGTCGTGGCCAAGGTCTATATATTCCTCCTCATGCGGCCGGTGTATCATGCCTCCGGTCAAGCATAGACAATTACGTCTCAGTTTTTGTTTGTACTGTGTCTCGGTGCCACAAATCATACAAAGAGCTATCTCTACCACATCCCTTTAGTCTGTTTGCATATCGTTACTCTGTACCATCACCATGCATTTCTCGACACCCACACTCCTTCTTGGCGCTGCGGGGCTAGCCCAGATCGCCGCCGCTGCGTACTCCCTCCAAGATGATTACTCCGGGCAACAACTTCTTCGATATGTTTACCTTCGATGTCGTGGGTTCCCTCTCCCCCAATACCCCATCCGAAGTACCTCCACTGTAAAACTCGAGCCGCTGACATACTATCCAGGAAAACGACCCGACCAACGACTACGTCAACTATCTCGACGCGTCCGACGCGCAGGCCGCAAACCTCGCCGGCGTCGTCGACGGCGTTGTGACGATCCGCTCCGACTCCTCGAACATCGCCTCGGGCCGCGGCCGCGAGAGCGTCCGCGTCACGAGCAGGAATCAGTACACGCATGGGCTCGTGAACCTGGACCTGGCGCACATGCCCGGGAGTTCCCGCGGCGTTTGGCCCGCTTTCTGGATGACGGGGCCCTCGGTATACTACTATTCTCTCCACTTCTTCTTCTTCTTATATCCCACACCATACCACTCCCTCTTTTCGAACGAACCTACATAGTATAAGAAAAAATCCACCAATCATTCTCATCGCACGCGACCGGCGAAATCGACATCATCGAAGGCGTCAACCACCAAGCCACCAACGCCACGACCCTGCACACCAGCGCCAACTGCACCATGATGTCCGCCGACTGCAGCGGCGTCGAGGCCGGCGGACCCCCGTCCTTCGGCGACGGCCTCAACGCCAACGGTGGCTGCGTTGACGCCATGCAGTGGACGAGCGAGCAAATCAACGTCTGGTTCTTCCCCCCCGGCGCCGTCTCCGCGGACGCGCTGTCCGACGGTCCGGACCCGGCGGGCTGGGGTTCCCCGACGGCGCAGTGGGTGGGCGGGGACGGGTGCGATATGGATGAGCATTTCGGGGAGAATGTGGTCGTTTTCGATACCACGTTTTGCGGTATGTTTCTTCCCCCCCCCCTTCCACTTTCCTCCCTCTTTCCCTCGTCCCTAAACTATCAGACTAAAGCAAACACACACTTCCCCCCACCGTGCCCATCCCATAGTTGATCAACCCCCCCCCCCCTCCTTCCGTCCGTGCAGGCGAACGGGCCGCCGGCGTCTGGCCCCACATGACCCAATGCGCCCTCCCCGCCCCCTCCTCCCAGGACTACATCCGGAACCACCCCGAGGCCTACGCCGACACGTACTGGAGCATCGATCCGCTCAAGGTGTACACCGACGCCGCCGCCGTGGCTGGCAAGAGGGCATCTGCCGTCCACTGAACCCTCTCACACCCCGTCGACTTTGGCCGTGGCTGTCTCTCCAGTACCCGTTGTTGGGGCATCCGATCTGTACACACGCAGACGCACACGCGCGGCGACTGCGGCACAGGCGTTGGGGGAGAGGTGGATGAGTGGCGGGTTTGAACCTGGGGCTGGGGGTTTGATGAGAGGGTGCGGGGTTGGGGGAGGAGAGACGGGCTGGTAGTAGGGCGTTGGGGAAGGGGGGACGATGAGGTGCGGGATTGGGGTTCGTGTTGGGGGGGGATTTTTGTGTGACGAGGCGTGGCCTGGTCGGGGGATACGGACGTACGTACGGACGTAGATATAATCTGGAAATGGGGAGTTTCGATCGGGTGATTGCGTTTTGTGGATATGTTAATTTTTGGTGTTGTTTTGATCTGGGAGAATGGCTGTGCGTGCCATGTTAGTTCTTCGGGTTGGGTGGGGTTGCGTAGACGTATACAGATGTGTAATAATAGTCTTCTTGTTCTTATATAGACCGATATTACATATTCATTCCTATGACCGGCAAAGACTTTCTGTGGCCAATAACCCGCAAAGTTACATGGACGCTTTCGGTCTCGATATCCCTCTCCTTGTGTATTCCCAATTGTCCTGGCAGACGGGGTTCTCGTCGTCTGCCCGGGCAAGAACACCACAAACCCCCCTACCTGATCTTCGCAAATCCGTCACTTTTCGCAACAAAACACTTGCCATCTGCTTACGAATTGACAACCGCGACGCTGGAACCACTCACCGACCGTAATTCGCGCTCGCGGTCTAATTGTGGCGGTCATGTTGTTCAGGAAAGGGTTCTCGGACGCGCAACCTTTTTTCACCCTGGAAAAGGGAGTCGCGATGTCGATTGCCACTGTTCAGCCACTGACGTGTTGGGAGGAGACAGGAAGGGGAGTCGGGGGTTTATTTGTGTGTTTCCAGCAATATATGTACGAGCTTCTGAGCATCCAACGGCAAGCTTTGCCGACTTTGATGGGGGGCGGGTGTGAGATCTTCCGGACCGCTCGCTGTGGAGAGTTCACCGGACGCTTCTTGCTCCCACAAAGATTGTCCACAGCCCCGAAAGGTCGGGTCTGCGTACTGAGTCTATTACAATGTCTTAGCATTACCCGTGCGGATTTTTGTGAGGCAGTGGTGCGGAACACTCTCCAAGTGCGACCCAGGTATGCTGTCGGAAAAGATTTGCAGTCCGAGGCGATGACTTTTTGGTTTCGCGCCGAAATGTGGTATCGTGGCCAGAAAAGTTGTCGTTTAGGTTTAAGATGACATCGAATTCTAGACATGGAAGAACGAGGGAAACCACCACTGGTGTTGATCTCATCGACACATCAAGGATTTGTACCGCTTCGACTGCCGCCTGTTTTTTGTTTCATTTGTCACTTCGCCCAAGCTTCGCCAATGGCGGCACCGGAGAATAAGCACTGTGCCAGGGCATGGGATACCCGCCGAAGACCCAAACAGGTGACGTCAATTGCCATTTGTTTCGGACACCACCAGAGCCTCCTCGTTATGCTCCGGCGATTGAACGCGTCTCTTGCCCTTTGAGGACAGACCGGCAAATAGAGGTCGGAACATAGGGAGGCAAGCGCCTACAATGCCCAGGGAAGATTCGATCATTGCCCAATACACCATCGGGGTATTCCTGTCTGTGATTTGAGGTTGGTCAAAGAGAGTAAAATCGTACTCAGTAGGAGCCCTTACAGCTGATATCCAAAAAACCAACATCTAGCTCTGTTAACACAACAGCATCAGCATTCTGCATCACCAACATGGAGTCACGACCGACCTTGGACTATTTTGTTCCAGACGACGAGCTTTGCGATTCCCGCTCCAACGGTCCTGCGTTCCGTGAATATTTGGAACTCTGATAGAACAGCCTTGAGGCTGGGCCACTTACAGCGCTCCGAGTAGAAACATGCCGCTTATGCCAATTTTGTGCGTTGTCGACATCTGTAATTTCCATATCTAAAATCCTTTATGAGCGATAATTATACAGCAGAAAGCCGTGGAGCTCACGCATGGAAGCGGCAGCAAGAGTATCATGACTATTTGCATGTCAGACGGTCATGATCCGGGCATGTGAGAAGTCGACTTACAATCTGTGAGAAAGTCAGACCACGCCTGAGCTAGATACATTAGGTTCGTATTGATACAATTCGCGTAGTTGAAGCCAAAGTTGGTCCAATCTATCCACAGGGGCCAACATTGGAATAGGTTGGCGAAGAAGAAGGCAACGGTCCAGACGGATGAGACCGTAATCATAGTCCAAACCGAAATGACAAAGACTTTGCCTCTGAAAATTCTGGCGCGAACTGATCAATTATGGTGATACGAAAGGGGATTCGAGGGGTCTTCTACCTCTTGTAAAAAAGAAGTACAGATAGCTTCGTGAAGCCCCAGGTCAATGTTTGGGTGAGCTGTGATGCAAAGACAATCTGTTTACACCTTGAATTCAATACTTTAGGACGACGCGCTCCCAAAATACCTGTTCAAAGACTCTCAAGCGATGGTCAAAGACCGGGATAATGCCGTCTTGGCTGATTCTGGTATGTTGTCCAAGATTACCAATGGCCGTCCCTGTGGACTATTGTCAGAAAAAAGGCAGACGAGGCCTGAAGACAGTAGGACGTACCCACGAACATGCATATCGCAGTCCCGATAGTGAATAACTACTTTATCATTAGTTCTTCTATTACAATATTAGACGCAGTTGCAGGAAATGACGCACCAATGCAAGCAATATTGCATAATCGTCCCATGAAAGTGCAGTCTGCTTTATGCGTTTAGCGTAAAAACGCAGCATGATAGCGACAATGGCCAAGATGCTCAACACTGTCGCCAGAGCATACATCATTCCAGCTGAATCCGCCATGGCAAGCAGACGCTGGAAAGGAAATCGAGATTGCGTTGAGTGAGTGATATGTGGTACAAGGCTGAAAGTTGGATGCTCATGAGAATTCCTGAAATGGGAGACTTTTTTTCAAGAGAAAAGTAGAGCTTGGCTGATAAAAGCTCCACGTCACAGATGTAACCACGGATACCCGGCCGATGGCATGCTGAAATATTTGGGCACAGTTTTCTGCAGCTATGCAGATGATGTAGGTAGCGATTGGAAATGCGTGACTTCCCCATAGCAGCGTGCATGCAGCCACGCCTCAAGAAATGGGCTGTACCACTGCACTACATCGGGCTCGATATCCACACAACACCACCATCATCTGCTGAAAAACAGTTGCAGGTTATTTCCAAATCAGCCTCTTCTCAAATCTGCAGGCCTCTAAACAGCACATCTAAACAGCACACATAACCAGGTTCTATACAAGTCCATAGCTCTAGAAGCTCTCATTGAGCGGTCAGACACATGAAAAGAACCCCATGAAACGGTCCTCAAGTGCTTTTGTTTCAAATGTAGGGGTCGGGGCTCACCACAAAGAACACCTGATAAGGTAATAGGCCATCTTTGCGCTATCTTCTGTGTTTGCGACCCGAAGACTATCCGGGATGATGGGAAGGATTGGAAGGATGCTCTTGAAACGAGAGAATGCGTAGCTTGCTGCAAGGAAACTTGCTGAAAGTGTGTTCCATGGCAATTGGGATCTCACGATACAAGGTGAAAGAGGAATGTCTTCGGCGCATCGTCAATTTTAGGTACCAAGAAATTTCGAACTAACCGCATTGTATCACTGCCGACACGTCGGCCACCGTCAACGGTCATATGGCACCTCCAATTTCATCGACGCTGGTCTTTGATGATCGACAATTTTCGAAAGATGGCTCTACTACAACAGCGAAAGATTACCATCTCCCGCAAGTCTAGCAGTTTTCAAGAACACGGGTTGGAATACCAGTCCTCTCACTATGCACCGTTCGTCCCATTCGAGTGCCCATTGGTCTCTCCCTTGCCCTGCAAATTCTCGATAACGATGGCACTCGCCCCACCGCCTCCATTACAGATTCCAGCACACCCTACCCTTCCTCCCTTCTCTCTTAACACGCCCAGCAACGTTGTCACGATCCTCGACCCACTGCACCCCAACGGATGCCCCAACGCCACAGCTCCACCGTGTAGATTGACTTTGTCTTCGCTCAGGCCAAGCAGTTTCAAATTCGCTAGAGCTACCACGCTGAAAGCTTCGTTGATTTCGAAGGCGTCGACCTCGCTGATGTCGGTGCTAGCGTGCTTGAGAGCTTTAGGAATCGCGAGGGAAGGGGCTGTAGTGAATTTTGAAGGAGCTTGTGCTGCGTCGCCCCAGCCTAAGATCTTCGCTAGCGGAGTGAGGTTCTTCTCCTTCATGAATTCCTCGGAAACGATCACGAGAGCAGAAGCGCCATCGGAAAGAGGAGAAGCATTTGGCGCTGTCACGGTGCCGGAGCCATCAGTTTTGAAAGCTGGTTTCATTGCCTTAAGCTTTTCTTCGTTGAGTGGCATCTGAGGCTTTTCATCTTTATCGACGACGGTTGCTGGTTTGCCTCTAGGACCGGGAACGGAGACGGGTGCGATCTCTGGGGCGAAGAGACCAGCTTTGGTGGCGTGTTGCGCTTTTTGTATCGAGCGGATTGCGTACGCATCTTGTGCTGCACGGTCAAACCCGTGGTCTGAGGCGCACTCTTCCCCCTGTAGACCCATGTGCTCGGAGGAGTAAGCATCTGTCAAGCCATCACGCAGCAGGCCGTCGACAAGGGTTGCATTACCAAATTTGCTGCCGGCTCGGAGAGTGGGGAGATAATGGGGCACGTTGGACATGGATTCGGTGCCACCAGCTATGATTGCAGAGGCGTTGCCGGTCATGATCGTTTGGGTGGCGAGGATGATGGCTTTGAGGGAGGAGGCGCAGACTTTGTTTATGGTGGTGCAGACAGTCGAGTTTGGCATGCCAGCGTTGATGGCACATTGGCGGGCAGGATTCTGGCCGAGGCTGGGTGCGTTCAGTAGAGGAACTTTGAGAAAAAGAAGCTGAGATGATTGGTGTACTTTGCTGAGA